GGTTTAGTGAGAGACTGTGTTTCAAAAAATAAGGTAAAGAATAACTGAAGAAGAGATCTGATTAAAATGTCTGGCCTCCACATTCATGTGCACACACACAAATGAACATGTATACACACTCATATACCACATACACTAAATAATAAAAAATAAAGTCTGTCATACCTCAAACTCAAGCTTTTCCCACAATAAACCACCTTTCCCTTTCACTACTGATACACTTATGGATAAATGTCATCTTTGGAATTTAATCTTGACTTCTTTGCATTTTCTTGCATGAGCAATGTTGTAAGGTCATCTATAGAAACAGATTACAGGCTCTCATGGACATTGTGGAATGTATTTTTCATCCCTTGTCTATTCCTTTGGGCCTTCAATGAAGCTTCTTCCCAAACCACCCCTTCCCTTCAGTTCACATACCTTCACCCTTGTAGTCCTAATATTGTGCTCTTATTTACTACCAGAAGATGAGGTCATAAATTTTTCATTTTCACTTGCTTCTTTGCCACCCTCTAACCATAACAATCAACACCCGCCCCCAAGTCTTGTCTCATTATAGCATCCTGGTCCAAAATCCAGGTTCTTTTTTCTGCAACGGCAGTGGCTATGGATGAATTCTCAGGTGTAGGTCCTCTCAACTGGAAACTAGTAACTAAAATATCATCAGGTGATATTTTCATAAGGGTGGCACATACCCTTAATCCCAGTAATTGGGAGACAGAAGTAGGCTGATCTCTTTGAGTTAGAGGCCAGCCTGGCCTACATTGTGAGTTCTAGGCCAGTCAGAGCTACATAGTGAGACCCTGACTTTAAAAAAATTGTTTTAAGTCATGTTCCCTCTCTCCCTGAACACCCAATATCTGAGAAAAGAATAGCTGTAACAGAACTCCTATCCAAAAAGAGGGAGAATGGAGATATACAACTGTCACTGGTTCATAGCAAAACTGGCAGCAACATGTAAATGATTGCCTTGCAATATTGTTAAGAGCACTGTCTTCCTGGGTACTCATTGGCATGAGTTACATAATGTTTACCTATCAACTAGGGTTGAAATTAGGTCACTGTTCTTAGAACACTGTATTACCTGCTCTCATGGATTGTAAAAGATAAGCAACCATTCATTTATAATATACCATCAAGCCACACGTCCACAGAAAGTAGACAGAGCTCCTAAGGTGTAGAAACAGTAAGGATTAACTTCATGGTACACTTGAGCTTTGGTCATTTTGCTTACAGATTAGTAACTGAGGTCATCTTAAAAGTACCTTTCCAGTAGCTGGCAAGATGGTTCAGTGAGTAAAAGCACCTGCTATGCAAGCCTAATGACCTGAGTTGGATCCTCAGAACCCAGAGTGGAAGGACAGAACTGACTACTAAAAGTTGCCCTTTGACTTCCACATAAATGCCATGCACATTCACCTCATACCCCCTGCCAGTTCTCTCTCTCAATAATAAAACAAAACAAAACAAAACAAAAGGTACACTTTCCAGGTCAAGTGTGATGGTACACATCTAATCACAGGACTTAGAGGCAGAGACAGAAGGACTGCTACAGGACAGGACAACCTGAACTATACAGCAAGTTCCTGGCCACACATGGCTACAAAACAAAATCCTGTCTCCAGAAGACCAAAACAAATAAATAAAAGTGCCCTTTCCAAAAGCAATTTCATACTCTTCCATGAATGCTTCTCAGATTACAAAAGGCAACCAAATAAAACTTAATCTTCTTAAAAGTCCAATAGTTGGGGTCAATAAAATTAAATTGGTAAGCCACACCTAATTTTCTTTAGGTTGACAATGCAGTTACAGTCTTTAGGGTTTTTTGGGTTTTTGGTTTTTTTTTTTCCTTTTTATAGCCTTTAGTTTTTTTGTTTGTTTGTTTTGTTTTTGGTTTTTTTGTCTTTTTTGATACAGGGTCTCCTGTAGCCCCAGCTGTCCTGGAACTTACTATGTAGACCAGGCTGGCCTTGAACTCACAGAGATCCGCCTACATCTGCCTCCTGAGTGCTGGGATTAAAGGTGTGCACCACCACGCCCAGCCAGTCTTTAGTTTTAAAAAAGTCAGTTTACTCAATTTCCATATCTGTATCCTGTTTCCTTATGAAACTTTAAACTGGGAGCACTTTATATTTAGAATTTTTTTTCAGTACCTAATTATACATTCATGCTTTAGCTGAACAAAAATGTGGAAAAAGTAACCCTGAAGCTGTTCTATTTATTTCCTTTACAGTTCCTGGAGATTCATAATCTAGATTAGTGGTGCTCAAATATGGGCCATGTTACTCGCTTCAAGGTCCTTTGGAAATACCTATTTTTAGTTGTCACAATGGGGGTATATACTGGTACCCTTCAGGTAGAGACCTAATAATTTTCTCACAGTACACAGAAAAGTCCCCAACAACAAATAATTATCTTTTTTCAAATGTTAATAGTGTCACTTTAAAGAAATGCTGGACATGGTATATGCCTTTAATTCCAGTACTCTGGAGACTGAAGTAGGCGGATCTCTGTTAGAGTTACAGCCTGAGTTACACAGAGTTCTAAGCCATCCAGGGCTACATAGTAAGAAATCCCGGCCTGCATGGAACTCCATTACCTTCTATACGGTAGATATAATAATAATAATAATAATAAAACATACGTCAAACATCAATCTCAGAATATCATCACATAATGGAAAGAGAGAACTGACTCCCACAAGTTGTCTTAACCTCCACATGCACACCGTGGCATGAGTTTGTCCACACGCATACACACACAAAATAAATACGTTACTTAAAAATTTTAAAGAATGGGATCAGGCTAATGACTAGTTATACATTTAGTAAATATTTATTAAGAAATATTATGTGGCATGTATTTTAGAGACAAAAAGAAAATTAGATATTCACTGCCCTTAGAAGTTATTCAGTGGGTGAGGCCTTTTAATAAGCAACTCACAGAGCCTAGGCTCTTTCTTGCTAAACAATTTGATACTCTCTACTATCCATTCCTGTGAAGAACCTAGTTGAGAGAAGCCGTGGGTGAAAAATAACCTGTTCTGACATGCAACTTATGTCTAGGTAGAAGTCCTTGAATTAAATTAGATCATGAAATACACTGTTACCTTAAATCCTTGAAGAAATGCCTTAAGCTCTGAGTTTAGTTATATTCTCTAATTTTCACAGATGAAAACTCTGCCACATTACTCTTTACTAACTTCCTATAAGACACTATGCATATAACTTTGTGCCACCTATATAGAACTACAGGTATAGTTCTCTTACAAATTAAAATCTGCTGACAAAATTGGATAACTGCTTCTCTTCATTCTGACTGCCAAGTCAAGTCTCAGGCTTAATGTGTCAGCCCTTAAACCCCAAACATTTGTGTATACACCTGTTCCCAACCTAACTAGTTTTGACTGGTGTTTTCATTTTTCCATTTCTGGATAGTTTGGGCTTATTTATATTTTGCTATTGTCCTGGTGCATCTGTATTAGTGGTACCATTGTATAAAATATGGTTAAGCACAAATACCGAGAACAAATGATAAGAAAGCAACTGCAATAGTATTGTTAGATGTACACATGGCAACTTGAAAAAATTTTACATTTATTATTTATTTGCAGGGTGGGGTGTCAATTGTGTGCCACGGTACATGAATGGAGGTCAGAGGACAACTTCTGAGAGTCTGTTCCTTCTTCCATTATGTGTCCTAGGGATTTGACTCAGGTTGCCAGGCTTGGCAATTACCCACTGAACCATCTTGCCCAGCCTCTTAAAAAACTTTTTTTTTAATTTAATGTGTGTGCAGGCATGTGCCAGGGTACACATGTGGAAGACAAAAGACAACTTAGAGGAACTGGTTCTCTCCTTTCACCATGTGGGTCCTAGGTATGCAATTCAGGTAATCAAGCTTGGCGATAAGCACTCTGTTTCCACCTGCTGAGCTATTTCACCAGACCCACTCCCTCTTATTTTCCTTTTCTTAAGACAGCACCTCATATCTCAAGGTAGCCTAAAACTCCCTATTATAGCAGAGACTGACCTTCAACTTCTGATCCACCAGCTTTCACCTCCAAGTGCTGGGATTATAGGAATGTATCACTACAACAAGTTCTATGTTACTGTAGACTGAATTCCAGGCTTTGTGCAAGCTAGGCAAACAGTCTACCAACTAAGCTACATCCTCAGCTACTGCATGGTGCTTTTGACAGCTTGAATAAACATTGTCTTTGAAGGTACTGTGTGTCACAGAAAACTTCCTGAAAGAACTCACAGCTAAAAAAGATACACCGGCCAGGTGTGGTGGCGCACACCTTTAATCCCAGAACTCAGGAGGCAAAAACAGGCAGATCTCTGTGAGTACCAGGCCAGCTTGGTCTATATAGCTAGTTCCAGGCCTGCTGGGGCTACAGGGTGGCTCTGTCTGAAAAAGACTAGGTGTTAAGACAGGAGGGTGAGGAAATAGATGTCAAGGCCCAGAAGCGGGAGTGCATTCAGAAGATGAAAAGTAAGCGACTTCTTTTCTTTCCTCTTTTTTAAAATTAAACCATTTTTGCCAGAATAGAGGGTGCTTTGGGAATGGTGAGACATGACACTGAAGAGGTACTTTAGATGCCACATTAAGGATTTTGGACCCTGACCTAAAAAGCTGACTGGAAATATTGAGAACAATTTACTGAAGAAAAAAAATGATCCCTTAAAAATGATGAAACCTATGAGCTTCCGCAGATGTCAAGCATCTTTAATAAATAACACAATCCTGATCCTGTTCTCACCCCATCCCCATCCCCTTACCAACATCACTGTAGAACATTACCCTTTAAAATGGGGTCAATTACCAACAGGCAGAAAGGGAATAAGGTAGTGGACTATTTGGGGCAAAAATGTAAGGCTTCCCAGGGTTCCCATTTTTTTTTTGTGTTGACTACCACATGGACTTACAAGTAGCTCTAGTAAGAAACATGAAGGAATTCTGACAGTTGTGTGCCTCTCCAGGACAAGCAGCAAGAATCTGTTAGGATTTTATGTCTCCAATTGTTCCAATGACAGTTTCTAATACAGAAATAAAACCAGGTAGTGTTTCAGTCCTTGCCTCACTTTGTTTCACAGAGATCTGCATTTCTGAGTTCTCAGGCTCCAACAGCAATTCAGTTAAGAACTGACAACCAGTATCATCCTGAGCACTGAGGTAGGCTTTCCAGGGCTGAGCCCCAGGCCTGCTCATTGCAATGGTCTGAATGTTCACTACTTTTAGAGCCATCTGGAGGGTGTCAGGCTGGACTTCTCCTTGCCAAGGAAACACCTGCTGATGAGCAACTTTGAGGCTAAGCCAAGTTTTCTCAAAATACTCAGCAGAAAGCTGGAGATTGGGGACCAGCATGAGCGCTTCAGATTCAGGAGGTTCTTGTACTTTTTTGTTCTCTTCTGGAACCAGGTGTCCTAAAAGAGTCAGAAAGCTTTTGTAAGAAATGCTCTTAATCTTCGTTTTACTTTTACATTTCAAAAATAAACAATGTATTGCTAGCATGGTGGTGCATACTTGTAACCCAAGCACTTAGAAGGGAGAGGCAGGAGGACGAGGGGTTCAAAGCAAGCCTTGGGTACATAGGAAGTTAAAAGCCATGTTGGCTGTCCAAAAAAACACCAAAAGCAAAACAAAACACATTTATACTGTGACTTCTATCTTTGGAAAAATGGCTTAAATAACCAATGATGAACTCCCTTCATGCTCACAAAGGCTTCAAATTCAGGCAACAGTTTGAGATTTATTTATGATATTTACTTTTCACCAGTCACCACAAAAGACAAAGTTTAACCATGACAAGATGTAAGGTAAAGACTATTTTTACCTGATATGGCAAAGGATGCATTGGTAGGAAGCTCTGAGTCATGACGTTCTGCCTTCTGGCATTTCGAGATAACTGCCCAGTGGGCTTTGCCATACACTGGCGCCAATGTGTTGAAGTCTAAAGCCCAGCTATTCACAGGTCGTTCTGCCTGATCCTCCAAAAGTCTAAGAGAAGGGTCAGATTTAGGACTACACAGGATCTGCTTAACTTCATCAATGCCGACTAATAGGAGGCGATAATAGAAGAGACCTCGATCCCGAACAGCCATATCCTTTTCTTCCTCTGAGATAAAACAATGGACTGAGTTAAATAAACACCTTACTCTCCTCCTAACCTTCTGCCAACAGTTAAGAGGAGGAAAAAATGAAGGAGGCAGGATACTTTAGAAAGCATAGACATTTTCTTCTTAGGTCTCAGGCATGATTTAACAATGAAAGCTGTGAGAACTTTTACTATGAGTCATGGCAAGTGCTATCCCCTGAAAAAACCTACCTATGCAATAATATAACAGACGTCCCAGCATGTCCTGGCACTCAGCAGGGCGTGAGAGGAAAAGTCGCATCAGTGCAGTCAGTAGCTCCATCTTAACAGCAGGAAATGTCTCTGACTTCACATTTTCTACAAAGTCCTCCAACACATAAGGGGCATTGGGAATTTTTTCCCCATGAACTCCAAGTAACCAAATAAGTGCTTGCTTTCCCTGGAAAAGAGAGAATAAGAATAGGTGCTTAACAGCTGGCTGTGCAGAGGAAATAGTAGACAACCACTGATTTTGCTTTGGCCTAGTGCCAGCAGACAAGCCATATTCTTTATATCAACTTGCACTGTATTACCTCTACCCTACTACTTCTCTGTAAGAATGAAATTCTAATGCTTATGGGATTGGGGTTATAGTACAGTTGGTAGAATGCTGGCCTACCAAGCACAAGGTCCTAGGTTTGGTGTTCAGCATCATAAAAAACAAAGAAAGCAAAATAAAACAAATAGTAGTGTGGTGGCTCACACCTATAATTCCACCACTCAGGTGGTGGAGGCAGGAGGATCTGGAGTTCAGGGTCATCCTCGGCTATCCAGTGAGTTTGAGGACAGCCTGGGATATGTGAGACTCAAAAAGGGGTTGGGCTTAAAAAGATAAAGGCTATACTGCATAAGAGGAAACTCAAAGTTTTGTAAATCTATGTTGACTAAGCAATAAATAAGGTTTTCTCAACTTTGGGGCCTTTTGCCCAGTCTGAGGTTTAATGTTTCAATGGAAACTACTGAGAGAATTTTTTTTTTTTTTAATGAAAGTAGTTATTAACTTAAGAGTATACACCAGAGTCTTCTGTGAAGCTTTCTAAAAAGCTTCCTAAAAAGCTACCACCCCTGGATATTTAATTCAGCAGACTTTGGGTGTAGTCCAAATTTCTGTAAAAATTCTACAAATAATTCTCAGACTCATAATTATTCAAGGGAACAATGGTATAAAAGAAATGTGTAAGCCGGGCGTGGTGGCGCACGCCTTTAATCCCAGCACTTGGGAGGCAGAGGCAGGTGGATCTTTGTAAATTCGAGGCCAGCCTGATCTACATAGTGAGTTCCAGGACAGCTGGGACTACAAGGAGACCCTGTCTCAAAGAAGACAAAAAAAAAAAAAAAGAAAAAAGAAAAAAGAATATGTAATACAAACCATAGATAAGTCCTCTTCTTATAAGTTAAATGTCACTTCTATTCCAAAGAGAATCTGAGAAGAAAATCCTGTTTCTAAACTGATACAGGACAGAATGAATAAAGAGGCTCCATTTCAAGCTAGAGAATATCTCAGTGGCAGAGTATTTACCTAACATGAGTTTGATCCTCAGCATCACTAAACAAAAACACATTCCATTTCAGAAGGTAGAGTCCTAAGCATCCCTGTGTGGCTAGAAATAAAGGAGAACTAAATTCTACCTCACTGTCTTGAATGTTCTCCTCACAGCCGGGCAGGGCCTGACACACAGCTTCAGTACACTGAGGACATAACCAAACCAGGTCTCGGAAAGTCTGCACCACCACTACAAGACAACCCAGGATGCAAGAGCACAAGATTAGAGCCTCCATGAAAAGATCTTAGGTAGAAACATGCATTCAGATTAGATTCTGGCAAATTTCTATAAAACAGGTTTTGGGGGTTATTAACTGAGAAATAGGCAATACTTTCTTGCATGAATGTTACTCATACAGACTGCAATGAAGATAAATGAATTAATATACAGAAAAGTACTTTGTAAAATATAACACTGTAGACAAATGTGGGGTAGTATTGCTGCTGAATGAGACAGAATACAGTACACTGTGGTGGTGCAAGCAAGGTGTCTAAGGTGCAAAATTTAAGAAGACATACAGGACTGGCACTTACACATGCCTGAGAGTGAATGTCTTCCTAATTTTACATTCTAGGACCCTTACTTGCCTCACCCTATACCCAGCCATGGAAGCAACTGCATGAAGTACACTTTCATGGAACAAAAAGAGGGGTAAAAGATAAGTAAGAGCTTCCTAGTACCTTCATTATCTATGATGCAGCCTTGTCAACTCCTAACGGCCAGAAGACTATACTACTACATCTATAAACCTATGCTTTTCTGACAGCAACAAATGATGATATAAGGAAACATTTAAGCCTGTATATTTGAAATTCACTCAACATAAAATATTTCTTGACTAATTACTGTTAGCTTGTACTTGGCAAAAAAAAAAAAAAATCCTAGGAAGGCAGGCATTACCTGTGGTGATGTGTTCTTGTCGAAGCCCCAGCAACTCTGTTAGAATCTGCACACACTGATCTGTATAAGTCTTGGCAATGCTCCCTAGAGGAAGAAGCGGTAAAGAAAACTGAATTTTAGCATGTCATTCTAAAACCACTTCCTGTTAGTCAAAGACAGAGATGAGTTGAAAACCTGTAATACCAACACTTGAGAGGTTGAGGCAAGAAAATCAAAAGTTAGAGGTTAGTCTGGACAACACAGAACACTCTGTTTCAAAAAGAATAGCAACAAAAAGAAAAAGATGACAGTGATGGTTAATTTTCACTGTCAACATGACTGGATTTACAATCACCATGGAAACACACCTCTGGGCATGTCTATGAGAAATTCAGCAAAGCACCAGGATGCATGTTCTCTGCTTCCTGAATGAACATGCAATGTAACCAGCTACCTGACACTCTTACCATGCCGTCCTTGTCACAATGGACTCATTTCCTCAAACTATATGCCAACTGGTCCCTCGTTAAGTAGCTTCCTATCAGGTATTTTGGTCAAAGGATCAAGAAAAGTTAACTACTACAATGATCAAAGATACCTGAAGAAGCTGGAGAGATGGCTTAGCAGTTAAGAGCACTGACTGCTCTTGCAGAGGACCCAGATTGGGTTCCCAGCACCTACATGGCAGCTAACAACCTGACGTTAACTCCAGTTCCAGGTGATCTGATGCCCTCTTCTGACCTCCATGGGCACTGTATGACACGAGTGCACTTACATACATGCAGGCAATACACTCATATACATAAGATAAAAATAATAAAATATTTTTTTAAAAAAAGATCCCTTAAAAAGAAAAAATCATTACTTACCTGATGAAATAAGAATCTTAGTTTGCTGTAAAGGGAATTTTGGTTAAAATGAATCTAGTTTTTTTAATTGACTAATAGAAATCTCATGAAAAAAATTTCCCATAGAACAAAGTTAAAAGCACAGGTATTATGGGATGACAGGTTTTTTTGTTTTTGTTTTTTTTTAATTTTTAATTTTGCTTTGAGACAAGGTCTTGCTATGCCACCCAGGCTGGCCTTGGGATTCTCCTGCTTCAGAAGCCTTTTAAGTGCTGGGATTACAGATACACACCACCATGTCTGGCTGAGGCACCCTTTTGGTTACAGCACACTTAAATAGGCATATTCCTGCTGGAGATACCTGATAGCAATCTCTCAATTTCAAGAACTTTTACTGTCTTCTTTGCTCACTCTTCTCTGCCTCTAATATTTTATTTTATTTCAAATATGAGGGTTTCTCACCCTTCTCTACTTAGTTTTTTAGCCTCTAAAATTTAGTTTGCCAACTATTCTCTTTTTTTAAAAAAAATATTTTTTCTATTCTTTTAACAGTAGGAATAGTAGATAGAATACTATGAAAAAGTTTATAAGATATAGGAATTAGGCTGGGCGTGGTGGCACACACCTTTAATCCTAGCACTCGGGAGGCAGAGGCAGACAGATCTTTTTGAGTTCGAGGCCAGCCTGGTCTACATAGTGAGTTCCAGGCCAGCCGGGTTACAGGGAGACCCTGTCTCAAAAAAAGACCAGCCCCTGTGCCAAAATACAAATAAGATACAAGAATTATTCTATGTTGATCTATGCTTAGCCCCTACAGTCCATAACAGAAGCACAGGAATTTTAGTCAGGAGATCTGGGTTCTACTTTCAGTTCAGAAATTATATGATCTTTTGGCAATTTAGTAAACTTTTTTTGACCCTACGTTTCTTCATCTTTAAAATATCCACTTTTCCTGACTACCTTACAAGACTGTAAGATGGTACACAGGAAAACATTTTGGGTAGACGTTAACATAAAGGCAGTATAAACGTTAAGTATTGTAGTTTGAGTTATCTATTCTCTATCATGAGAAGCATCAGCCTTGATATAAAAAAATGTCTTTCCCCTTATATGTAATCATCAACACAATTCTTTAGTACAAGATACTTATTTATGAAATAAGATTCATTTTTCTACTGTCCTCCACTGGTTTTTCTGACTATAGCTCTTTAGCTGGCTGACCTAGGATCACAAAAAAAAGGGAAAGATGCTCACCTATGGCAAAGATGGCAGCCTGGGCAAAATCAGCAGACACATCAGTGCAGTAGCCACGGAGCTCTTCTAGCACCTGTTGCACGTTCTCATCGTTCACCAGTTCACACAATACCTCCACCTTCTGTAGCTTGATATAGTGGGGCTCCGAGTAAGAGCAAAAAAACTTTTTGTAGTGATTGCTAAAGTGACCTGGCAAACTATGCAAGATCTGTCGCACCTGACAGAGGGCAGCAAAAGAGAGTTCCCGGCTATCTGAAGAACAGGCAGCTAGCAAGGGCCCCTTGATTCGTACGAGCACATCAATTTGTACGTGGGGAAACTTTTTTGCCAAGATCAGAAAGAGTTTGGTGGCTCCCATTACGACACCTGTGCTACTGCTCTTGAGATAACTGTCCAACAGATTGAGAATATCAAACAGTTCCTCCTCACTGCGGGGCTGGTAGCGGAGCAGAAAGTTCAATACTTCAGCCTGGCCCCACTGGTCCAGTTTTGACATTCTGTCCAAATCAAAAACAAAAGCACATTTTAACAACAAAATGGACCATTCTCCATATAACTGCCATGAACCTGGCAGCTGTTCACAGCCAGGGGAGAGTTTTTAAAACAGGCTATGCCATCATCAAATCATTCTTATTCTAAGACAAGGGCTGGTGAGCTGTCTCAGTGGGTAAAGGCATTTGTCACCAAGCCTGACGATCTGAGTTCAATTTCTAGAACCCACAGGGTGGAAAGAACCAATTCACAAAAGCTGCCCTCCAACTTCCACATGTGTGCCATGGCACATGCATGTACTCACATACACACACACAAAAGAACATAAATTTTTAAAAATTCCAAGACAAGTTGATAATACGGGTGCATATTTGTCTAATACTAAAGGCATGATCAATATATACTAGATCCAAATTCTCTAATATTTTTTTTCCTAGCACTGGTGATTGAACTTGGAGTTCAAACATACTAGGAAGTACTTCACTGAACTGTGATACTCCTAGCCCCAGATCTTCCACATTTTAAAATTTTAAAATGGCTTAGTTTGGAGGACATAATGACTACAGCAGAAAGAACCTATCCCCACAAGATAACTCTGCCATCTTTACAGATCAAGAGAAGCTAACTCAGATAAAAGAATTCTCTCAGCCAATGTGAGGAAATTAATAATTGTAGCAAACCCAAAGTTAAGATTTCTCCTGGGCTCAGTGGGCAAAAGTGCTTGCTGTGCAAGCCTGATGACTTCAGTTCTATCCCTGGAACCCACATAAAGGTGGAAGGAGAGAACTTCCACATGTCGTCCACTGACCCACTTTCACCATGGAACGGATTCCCCCAACACACACACAGACACACACACACACACACACACACACACACACACACATCATGCACAATAATAAAGTAAAACAAAAGACTTCTCTTTGATTTAACATAGTAGCAAGATCCCATCATGATTCAGATCTTATATAAAGAGCATTCAAACCTATTTAAGAGATGGTGGGCAATAGGCTTATTAATGACAACACCTCCTTCCTGTTTCAGAATTTCTTCTAGAGACCTCAAGCAGTTCACAACCACAATTGGATCCTGGTCACGCAGCAGACTGTATAACTCATTGACCAGGGCACCATCTATAAAAAATAAAGATTTCAGATAAAGAAAAGCTTGAGTCATAGGAATAGAGCCAGAGTAACAGCTCCAGCCAGTTAAAGCTACTGTCCCTACTACAAAAATGACAAAGGCAATAACAAATTCATCAGTTTGGGTCTGGGAGAGACTATATAAAATAAGTGAATTTTTTTTTTTTTTTGGTCTTTTTGAGACAGGGTCTCCCTGTAGTTCCCAGCTGTCCTAGAACTCACTTTGTAAACCAGGCTGGCCTTGAACTCAGAGATCCGCCTACCTCTGCCTCCCAAGAGTGCTGGGATTAAAGGCATGAGCCACCACACCCAGCTGTGAATTTTCTTTTTAAAGACTGAAAAAAAGGAGTTAAAACTAAAACAGACAAAATGAAACCAAAAAACAAGTGGGGGGTGGGGATTTGCAATCTCTAGACTGTTCAGGTTCTTCGTTTGTTTGTTTTTGCTTTGAGGCAGCATCTTACTATGTAACCCTAACTGACCTGAACCTCAAGACATCTGTCTGCTTCAGGAATGCTGGGATTAAAGGAGCCCTCCAGACTGTTTTAAGTAGCTTTGCTTTAAAGCAAAGGGTATTACTTGAAGGCCAAGTGTAGCACACACACTTTTAATCCCAGCACTTGGGAAGCAGGCAGACAGCTCTCTGACTTTGATGCCAGCCTGGTCTATGTTGTGCGTTCTAGGTCAGTCAGGGCTACAGTATAGGGAGACCCTGCCTCAAAGAAAGAAAGAAGACATACAGAAAGAAAGAATTTCTCTAATCTTAGAAAATACCAAGCCCTGCATCCTACGTAGAGAAATACTCAAAGTAGTAGAGCCGCATTATTATTTTTTACCAAATATATCAATATAATCTCTTCCAAAACCATGTACATAATAGAGGGTCAAATAAGAACTGAGCATGGTGAATGAGCTTACCCACTTCAGAGTCTCCATGAAGATTATGCATCTTAGCACAGCCAAGGACTGCCACTCTCCTGACATATGAAGCCTTATCCCGAAGACCATTAAGAACAGGCTGTTGGATATATTCCTGTACACCAGGCATCCTAAGAAACACATCCTGAAGTCAGGGAGATCCTGAAATACTAGTTTTCACATAAGCCCTTCTTCACTCAGTAGAGGTTTACTTTAGCTGTGATTTAATAATTTACGTTTGAACGTATAATCTGTCAGATCACAACAAACTGGAGAAAGCCTTTACCAAATTGAAAAAGCTATAATTTGACTTTTCATTTGGAATAATGCTGCACAGTCAGCACAAACTGTTATAGTAGTAACTGACTTAAGCATCTTTAATTAAAACTCAGGACTATTTTACCAAGCTAAAGAAAAACTGCCTTTAAAAAAAACTATGAGATACAGTTTAGCAAGTCAAAAAAAAGATGACTGAAAAGCTAAGGCTCCACAGCCTTCTGAATTCACCCACCACTGAGGACTGGGCAGGGAAGAAAAGTGCTCACCTGAGGCTACACATGCTCCGTAGTGCTAGTCCTCTCACCATTGGGTTGGGGTCTGAGCAGTCTTTGCATAGTGTGTTGATAGCCAGGAGTGCCAGATCTGGTTTCAAAGGTGCATATGTGCACATATACAGATAAACCAACTTTTTCTGCACAATATCTACAGTGGCGCTGGCCTTCACCATTTCCATGAAAACACTAGACATATCCAAACCCTGAGTCATGTGCCTGAAATGAACAAACAAAGCAGGAAGAAAAATAATGTATTTTCCAACCTACAGGAGGAGCTTTACTTATTTATGTTCTGGTTATCCTACTAAACTTTAATCATTTATACTTTGGGTGTACCCTGTCTATTATAGCACATAACACTTCATATCATGGGTCTGCAACTGCTGTTGACTCCCTAGTACCTTCCAATGAAATTCAACTTTTACATTCCAGAGATATGATATGCAGAAATAACCTTTAAGAAGATGTACTGACATTTAAGAACTCAAGATCAATTAAGGAGCCAGATAAGAATATCACTAATTAAAACAATATAAGAACCAGGTGTGGTGGTGCAATGCCTTTAAGCCCAGCACTTAGGAAGCAGAGGCAGACAGATCTCTATGAGATTGGGGCCAGCCTGGTCTATACAGTGAGATCTAGGCCAGCTGGGGCTACATGGAGACCCTATCTCAAAAATTAAATAAATACAGATAAGAACTTAAATGTACAAAATACAGACCAAGGAGATCCAGAGATCCACTGTCAGTAAATTTTTTTTTTTTTTTTTTTTGTCTTTTTTGAGACAGGGTCTCCCTGTAGCCCCAGCTGTCCTGGAACTCACTATGTAGACTAGGCCGGCCTTGAATTCACAGAGATCCACCTGCCTCTGCCTCCTGAATGCTGGGACTAAAGGCGTGCACCACCACACCTGGCCTAGTAAATATTTCTTAACAGAAATAATACTTTAGTTGAATGATCAGCTCACTAGAAAACATGGTACAGAGATAATGATATATGCTACACGGCATGAAGGAGAAATGAACATTCTTTTTGTTTCTTGGCCACATAGGAAAGGTTCATTCCCTAGATCACTGTTTCTCATACTGTGGAACCAAACTACTGTAAGCAGCTAAGATGTTTGTTAAAAATACAGATTCCTGGGTTCTATCCCACCTTAATGAAATCAGAATCAATCCCTTGACCACATTTTTTTAAAAGTCTTTTTCAAAAAGCATCCCAAGGGACTCTGTGTATACTGACACTCGTGAGCACAGCTGTGAGCAAGAGTTATGTTTTCAAATGTGCATAATGGAAAAATCCTAACTGAAAGAAGCAGGGAGACTTATTAATAAGCTACAGCAATTTGCTTTGTTGATGAAGGCCTGAGTACACGCAAGAGTCCAGATAACAGAGGTTATAATTTTCCAGACCATCTGAGGGTGATGTCTGGTGTCATCAAGGTTGACTAGCATGCTTAGTAGGCTGGCTGGTGGGTTAGCAGGCTGGCTGATAACATTCAAAACAAATATAAATCAGAACAGCAGGTTTGAGGAGCAAAGAATGTTGGTACTATTTTGGACATGTCTTTGTTGAACTATCCAGGCAGAAATGCCAAGCAAGTAGTAGAACAAATGGATCTGAACTTAGACATGGAGAACTGTACTAGATAAATTACAGCACCGTAATTATAGAAGCCTGTGAGATGAAGGAAACTTCTCAGCTGGGCAAGGTATTTCACAAGGGAGACCTAGATGACACTCCCAAATGATATTAACTGCCGTGTATGAAAGTTCATTTACTTTCTCAGAGAGGCTGGGGATAGAGAGCCCAGATTAGGGATTAAAGGTCGGGTGGGGGAAGTGGGAAGGCAGTTGGGTATACCTAATTACTCGTTGGATGACATTCCGGTAGCGCAGCCTATCAGCTTGAATATGAGGGTTACACAGGGCCTTCTTCAGTTCCTTCACCGCATCCTCAGAGCCAAGGTACGGCATCTCCGTGAACAGGGGGGCAGTTCCCACAAACCCTTAGGTAACTCGTGGACTCCTTACAGTCCTGGTGTGGGAGCCCGAGTAGAGGAAACGTGGGTCAGTGAAAAACTGAAGGCGATGTCACCTCTGCCTTCCAAGAGACTGTTCACTCCAACACGCACACTTCCACCGGCGCTCACCAGCGAGCCCCGAGCTAGGCCTCGGCACGCGGACCTCAGAGACCTTAGACCCGCAAGCCGTTCTCTCCGCTCGGCAATCGTCCCCAGCTACCTCTAAAGCCCCACGCGTGACTTCCAACGCCACTACCGAAAGAACCCAGACCTATCGCAGACTCATCCCTTCCAGTTCTAGCCTCCGTAGCCACCACACGGAGGCCCCATCCAGCTTCCTGCGGAAGTCCCGCCCCTCGTCCTGAGACTCGCAGCAACTGCTTCGGTCCGGCCAAACGCCGAATGCTGCCCGGACCCGACCTTAGGGCGCCCCGCCAACCCCCCCAACCCCTCAACCTCTCACCTCCGGGCGCAGGCGCACGGTTCGCAGTGGTGGAGCTGCGACGGACCATCGGAAATCGGCTGCCTGGGTCTGTCTATGCCCGCAGCGCGCGCTTTGAGTGCAGCCTCGGCCTGGGCCCTGGCTCCCGCGCGCGGCCGGGAATGACGCTTTCATAGCTTCTTCCGCGATGAGGGACACAAGCCCACTGTTCCGGGCGCTGCCACCTGCGTCTTTGTGCTCACTCTAATTACTTTCTTTTGGGGATGGTTTCCCCTTAGGGCTTCTGGCCTTGTTCTTGCGCCTGCATGTTTGGGGCGCCGTTCTGGAACCCTCCTATAGGAGCGCTGGCCCCACCACGACCTCACCGGTGACTCGCCATCCACCCCACCATGAACGGGGTCCTGATCCCCCATACGCCCATTGCTGTGGACTTTTGGAGCCTGCGCCGAGCTGGTACCGCGCGGCTCTTCTTCCTGTCTCACATGCATTCGGATCACACGGTGGGCCTGTCTAGCACATGGACACAGCCCCTCTACTGCTCCCCAATCACGGCCCACCTCCTGCACCGTCACCTACAGGTATGGGGCTGGAGTGAGCCTCTGATACCTAGTCCAGGAATCTGAGTGGGAACTTCCGATCTGTCACTGCTCTGGGATCCAGAGTGGAGGCCATAAGGACAGATTTTCACAAATAACGAGAACCGAGTACAGAATAAAACTCTGGCTTCCAGTTGACCCACTGGCAATGTTTTAGCTGTTAGGATTACCCAAGGGAATTCCTACTTTTTCAAAGACCAATGTTTGCCAATCTTGCCTTAATTCATATGACTGAGGATGTGGTTCAGTGGTAAAGCACCTGCTTAGCATGTGCAATTACCCTAGGTTGGATCCCCAACCGCCTGCCTTCAGTGATCCATCTGATGTGGTAGATAAACATGCTGATTCTGTAGGCTCTGCTCATCCTGTCTGCTTGAGTAGATATGGCTGGTTTGAGTCCTGATGATCTAACTGGAATTTCTTTCTTTAAAAATTTTTTGTCTTATTTTTGTTTAGTTTGTGTATAAGTGTTTAACTTGCGTGTATGTAAGTGCACCCGTGTGGGGTAATGTCTGCGGATGTCAGAGGAGGGTGTTGGATCCCCTGGGACTGCAATTACAGGTGGGTATATGGGGTGCTGGGAATCGAACCTGTATCTGCTATGGGGTGCTGGGAACGAACCTGGGTCCTCTGCAAGAGTAGCCAATGCTCTTAACTGCTGAGCCATCTCTCCAGCCTCCCTGACTGGAATTTTTTTCTAACAGTTGTCTCCCACCCCAACTGGGATTATTATCATGAGAAAGTATGAGAATTACTGGTTAGACTGTTTTCAGATTCTGAATTTAATCTTACAAAGGGTGGGAGCCAAAACAAGAACAGATTGTTGGCAATCCTTGTAATAACTTCCACTCCAAGGTTGGTCAGCTTTCCTTGATGCCTGTAAGAAATACTCCCTGGTCTAGGGGTGGATGGGGGAAGTCTGTGATTACTAGAATGACCAGTTTTTTCTTCAGGTGTCTAAGCAGTGGATCCGAGCCCTGGAAGTTGGTGAGAGCCATGTATTGCCTCTAGATGAAATTGGGCAAGAGACCATGACAGTAACCCTCATAGATGCCAATCACTGTCCTGGTTCTGTCATGTTTCTCTTTGAAGGATACTTTGGAACAATTCTCTACACAGGTGAGCCTCCCAAAGGGTCCCTATCATTTTCCTGCTGAGATAATACTTTTCTTAACTCAGAAATACAAAGACCTTCTAGCTTCATCTCATATAGGCCCAGAGACTCTTTTCAACTGATTTCCCATGCTCTGACAGTCCAAACCTTATGAAGAATATGAAGGTTAAAAATCAGAAGCAGGGGGCTAGAGAGATGGCTCTTCTAGAGGACCTGAATTCAGTTCTCAGTACCTATATGCCAGCTAACAACTATTTTTAACTACAGTTCCAGAGGATCCAATGCCCTCTTCTGGCCTCCACAGGTATGGTGTACATGTGGTACACTTATATACATACAGGCAAAACATTCATACACATAAAAATAAAATATTTATTAAAAACAGGAGCAGGATAGAGACATTTGCACAAGAAAGCTATACTGCACAGTTCTATGCTGGCACTCATAGTTTTCTGTAGACCCAGTAAGCAAATGCCTATCTGTTGTCAGAAGTGGAACAGCTTTGTCTTTTATTTATTTATTTTGTGTGTGTCCCTTGCCCCCCGCTCCATATATTTTCTTCCAGGTGATTTTCGGTATACACCATCCATGCTGAAGGAGCCAGCCCTGACACTGGGGAAGCAGATCCATACTTTATACCTTGATAATACCAATTGCAACCCAGCCCTGGTTCTTCCTTCCCGACAAGAAGCTACCCACCAAATTGTCCAGCTCATTCGAAAATACCCACAACATAACGTAAAGATTGGTGAGTTTTTCTCTTTTTCTTCTCCTATTGTTGGTGAATCTCAGTTCTGAGACGTTCTCACAGTTTTCCCATCTTTGTGCAGGTCTTACCTACCCTGTGAAACCTACCCTGGTAACCTGATTTAAAGTTGAACACTACTGGCATTGAACCTAGGGTCTCCCACATGTTAGTCAAGCACTATACCACTGAGCCCTGTTTAAAAATTTTTTTTTTAATTTTGAGCTTGTTTTTAGTTTTAGCACTAAGATTACAGGCATGTGCCACCACAACCAATTTATATGGTGCTGGGATTGAACCCAGCGTGTTAGGCAAGTACTCTATCATTTGAGCTACATCCTCAGCTCCAATTTTAATTTTTTTTATAGTACACCACCACCTCCCATTATACTTTGTACACGTTTAAATATGCTGTTGTTTATTATTTATCCCTGATATGTACACACACATAAATTTAAACTAAACTCATTAAGAACATGGATAGAAATGTTACGAAGCTTTGTATGTTTGTTAAACAGAGAAGCAGCACGCAGTGTGGCAGATACATAGTAGACAAAGAGGCTGGAGTAATGGGAAGCATTTTGAACTTTGTTCTAAATTTAAGAGCTGTTGGATGGTTTTAAGTGGAAGAGGAACAGTATTACCCTTAATCTTCTTGTAATATATATTCCATAATTCACATTATATTCCTTTCATCTTCCCTTGCTAGAACCTAGGCTCCACCATGACAAGGCTCTTTGTTTTATTATAAGTATATCCCACGTGTCTACATAATGCCTGATAAAAAGACATTCAACAAATATTTAAGTGAACGAATGAAATTTATCAGAATTTATAAGATTGCTGTGCCTTAAAACACATTGAGAAAACAGCTGTTTGATGTTCTAGTGATTCCATTGTGGTACAAAATATTTTGGGGGACTCTTTTGAGCTGCTTTTTGAGAGACAGTTTATGAAAATCAGTTTTTGTTTTAAAAAAGTATAACAGATTTTGGGCTCAGTGGTTAAGAGTACTTACTGCTCTTCCAGAGAACCTAGGTTCACTTCACTAACAACTGTCTCTTAATTCCAGTTCCGGGGTATCCGAGTTCCTCTTCTGGTATATGTGGGCATCGCACTCACGTGGTGTACTTATGTACTTGTAGACAAAGCACTTATACACATAAAATAAAAAATATTTTTTAATGTAACAAATTTCATTCTAATAACTATTTTCTTGTTTTTAAAATGGTTTTAAGTCCTCTTGGGGTCTGGAGAGATGGCTCAGCAGTTAAGAACACTGAATGTTCTTGCAGAAGACCTGGGTTCAGATCCCAGCACCCACATGGCAGCTAACAACTGTCCATAACTCCAGTTCTAAGGGATCCAACACCCTCTTCTGACCTCCAGGGGCATTGCATGACATGGGTGTACTTCCATACATGCAAGCAATACACACATACACATAAAATAAAAATAATAAAATATTTAAAAAATAAAATAAAGTAAAATGATAAGTCCCAAAGAGGGAAAATGAGTATTTTTAAAGGCTGTGTCCTAACTCTGAAAGGAGTTTCAAACTGACCTTAAACAAAAATATTGGAAAAAATTATATACCTTCCAGG